GTTCGAAACCCTGAATTATGTGTTATATGATTAGTGTTGAGGTGGCGCACACGCCAAGTGACAGGCGTGTAGGCGTGCACCGTAAGAACTGTGACCTGGTCGATTCCAGGGAACTGTATAGTGGATTTATCTTGTTGATATCTATTTTTTCATCATGTGATAAAGTAACTGTGTTGACAATCATGTTAGAAATCACATTTAGGCTATATGTTGGTACTATTGGGATCCATAGTGGTCGTTTCTTGCTGTTGACTTATTGATTACATTGAAATTTTGTACTCAATCACATTTATTCATTGCGTATCATATCTCAGTCAACGTTGCTATTTATTGATACATCATATCATCTTTTTTTGGCTAGTTTCACGACATTGTGAGCCTGAGAGAGAGAGAGAGAGAGAGAGAGAGAGAGAGGCTGGAGAGATTGATGATTGAGTGAGGCCGAGGGACTGATTGTGAGTGACAATTATGGGATCAGGATGCACGCCGCAACATGCTCTATTGATTTATGCCTGGATCTGGCTTATTATAGTGCTTAGGCTGAAGGAGCTACTTCGGACTCTGTACACGCCCCCGGTGAGCGCAGTTGATTTATATTGAGGGATGGATCTTCCTTGGACATGGATCTTATCCGAATCATTTATATTTGGGGATGGATCTTCTCCTAGGTTGGATTGGACTTATACAGTACTGAGTGACTGACTGTCAGTTGATGTATATATACATGGGATAGATCTTCCCTCGGCTGGATTGGCAATATACAGTACTGAGTGATTGAATATACTGAGAATGTGAGTACACGAGGCTTTTAGCATGGTGCATCACATACAGTATGTGCATTGGCATGTAGATTTTGAGAGGTCATACTCCTCATATCATTCAGAATTGATTTATCTTACTTGTATTGAGTTTAACTGTTGCACATGACATCTCTGTACTATTATATCTAAATTGAATTGTACCTGCTGAGTTCGTTACTAGTTTCAGTCCAAAAGTTAGATTTGTTACTTATTGAGTTGGTTGTACTCACGCTACACCCTGCACCTCGTGTACAGTTCCAGGTGCTTCCGGCCACGGCAGTTGCTGAGTTGTGGAGTCCAGAGTTTTCAGAGATTATTGAGGTGGCTGCTTAGCGTTCGCAGACCTTGACTCTCCTCCCTTATCATTCATTTTATGTTTCAGTTTTATTCTATGGACATTGTATTAGACTATATCTCTATGTAGATGCTCATGTACACGGTGACGCCCCGGTTTTGGAAGAGATTTTGTATTGAGTTATGATTTCTTATTCTTTTCTAAATGGTTTTCCTTAAATTTGACTGCTTCTGTATCTTTCAAAGCTTTAGAGTGTTGTGAATGTCTGAGTAGTTGGCTTTCCTAGTTCTATGATAGGCGCCATCCCGACGGGTTGGTTTTGGGTCGTGACATAAAATTAGGAATTAAGTTATTTGGGACAAGGTGGGTGTGGCCCTTGTGGAGGAGAAGATGCGGGACACGAGACTTAGATGGTTCGGGCATGTGAAGAGGAGACACATTGATGCTCCGGTGAGGAGGTGTGAGAGGCTCGTATGGGAGGGCCAACGGAGAGGTAGAGGGAGGCCGAAGAAGTACTGGGGAGAGGTACTTAGGCTAGATATGGCGTTGCTCTAGATCACCGAGGACATGACCATAAATAGGAATGTGTGGAGCTTGAGAAAAAAGGTAGAGGTTTAGGTGGCCGAGTATTGTCCTTATTTGTAGTAGTAGCTTTGACACACTACTTGGTGTCTTTTGTTTTTCTTTTGTATCCCTACACTTCTGTTACTACTTGATGTTGTCTTGTGGCTCAGTTTCTGACGAGTGCAAAACACAATACAAAATTAATGCTCGCTAGTCAAAGATAGTATAGTTTAATCATCATCTTCATGTGGATTGTATTTAAACAATGCTCAAGTAATTTATTATTTAACGCTATTCATGATGATCAAAACATGATTTGTAATGATTATGAACTAAGTTTAACCACTAAAATAACGTAATTGATAATTGACAGCATGGAATTAGAGATTCGCAGAGTGGTTTCTTATCAATGTGAGGAATAAGGGTTTGACATGATAGGTGCAATATAGCTATTTGGGATTTAACTCTAGTTTAATTCACTCTAATGTTCTAATGATTCTCACGAATTCACTCGATGATTAGTTCAAACGTGTAGTCAAGAATCCTTTCTCGATTAAATAATAACTCTACGAGATGAACTAATATAAGAACTCTGAAGTATGCAAGAATGCGTTAATGGATCAGTCCTTAGGAAAACGTCTCTCGAATATTCTCCTAACTTGATTCAATCAACAATTCAACAAGCTCTTTCGATTACTTAAGAGAATCAATGAATTAAATCAAAAAAAATAATGCAAATATAATCACCAAGATATTCCTCTTTCGATTAAATAAACTGATGAATAAAGTTGCAACAATTTGAAACTTCATAAATGAATTCAAGCGCGAACTAGAGTTAATATCCACAAATATTCATCAAAACACCATATCCATCAAACCCTAAGGTAAACTACTCCATAATTATGGAGGAAGTCATCCCAATTATAATTAAAGAATAAGAAAGCATCAATCTAACTTTACAATCCAAACTCTCGTATTGAATTGATGGAAGAATGATGGAATCCCGTGTCTTGTTGTCTCCAATGCTATCCCAAAGCTTCCATGGTCCAAAAGTCCCTTCCAAAATGTCTTTTTGGTGTATTTATATCATGTAGGAATGGTCCCAGGCAAAATTACCTTTTCCTAGCCTATACAGGACAGGTAGTCTGAGAAAACTACACACGCACGTCGCGTTCCGCCCCATGCGAGGCACTTGTGGGAAAGTTCAGAGAGCAGGTTCTGACAGACAGCAGACAATTTGTACTGCCATATCGCTCCATGCCACACGACAGTGCATTATTTACATATTATTTCGTTTTGTCGAGTTTTGATATCTAGACTTGGCTCTTGACCCCCGAACGCGATCCCGGTTTAATCCTTTGGGCTTTTACTCAGATTTCAAAGATCCAACTTGTTGATTTAGCTCCCAAATATCTTTTTAACTCAAAATGACTTCATAAAAGGCATAAAATGCATAATAAGTGCAATACAATAGTAATTAAGCTCAAACACAAATAAAATACAGTAATTATAGTGCATACTATGACTGAAACAAGTGATTCTAGCCCACCATCAACACAACACTTAAACCATTGCTCATCCTCGAGCAATCAAACTTCACTTCACGTAGAGACAACCTTGTTGTCAGACAACTTCCCTAACGCATCATGCCAATAATATTTAAAACAACTAAGCACCATATCATAATATCCTCACCTCAAGACTCGACTCAAGAGCACCATACATTTTTCACAACATGCTCACTTATTCTAACACAGAGGTCAAAGAATTCACCTTACCTGCACAAATCATGTGCCCTCATACAAACAATAGAGAGTAGTTCCACACACAATAAAGTCAAGAGCAAATAGGAACTCAAGATAGAAATAATTAACTTATTCTCAGAAATTAAATTCATATGCCACAAAATACGTACCATAGTCTTGCCCATAGTGTAATACTCTACTAATTGAACTCATTCAGTCAAAGATCAAGTAGGACTTTAATTTGGTTGTAATGTAGGCAGCGGGACGGGTATGATACATTTGGATATAGTGACTACATCTCCCTGAACACTTTAATACATATACATTAACAATTCAAACCCCACACTTGTGTTGAACCAAACCCTAACCTTCATACATAATAGCTTCACGCTCCCAATATCTTTAAGCACAAAAAAGATGAGGACTACCATTATCATAGAATCTATTTTTTTCTTTTTCTAAGTTCTGATTGTTTTCTTTTCAATTAGACTCATTTGTTTTCAATTCTCTACGCGTGACTTTCACCATATTTTTCAAACAATGCACATTTCTCCCTTTTTCAATAGTTCCACTCAAAAACACGACCATACCTCACTTAGCTTTTACAAGCTCATAACAAAATCAAGTGCTCAAGAGAGGTAAAAATGGTTCAAACAGATAGATAATTCAAACAAAAGGGGTCAAGCTTGTAATGTGGTTGCCAAAGAAATAGGAATACAGGCTCAACGAGGCTAACTAAGATATACATTCATTAGGTGGGTAATAACATATATGTGGCTCAACAAAAACTATCTATATCATTTCTTAAACTAAACAAGACTACTATTTTGCTTTGACATGCACAAAATATCAACAACCTCACGCATACATTGGCACATATCTCACTTAGGATTGGATCTATCCCGACTCTCTAGTCAAAATAGTTAAGAAAAGTTACAAATCACACAATTTAAGGTACTTATTTAAGAGTTAAGAACTGAGCCTAGGCGTCACAATTAAGGAACTCTCTTCTCTTAAGGCACAACAAAGTCGAGGAAAGTCATGTCCATTCAAAACATAGCACAAGACTTCACTACTCCTACTAAATAAAAAAACTAACTACACCCGGTTCAAGCAAAATCACTGGAAAAGAACCACGGCACAAAGAAAAGACAAGGGGGAATTGTAAGGAAAATAAAATATTTTTTCTTCGACTTTATTCCCTCAAGAAGACAATCGAGGAAATCCATCATCAAGAAAAGTCAAAAAACATTCAATCAAAAAAAATGATATTATTACAAACACACATATACATATATACATTCCCCTCCCCACACTTTAAATTGTGGCATGTCCCCATGACACACAAATAAAAAGCAAGAGGTAAAGGAAACTTCTTTAATTTATCTAGTCCTGGTCCGAATTGATGTCGGGATCTACTTTGCACGCCCGACCCAATGTATACATCCACGCCGAGAGCTTTTTTCCTGCCTTCCTTGGGTGCATCCCACACTCGTCAGTTGCACTCTTTCCGATTCGCTCTTTCAAGGCCCCCCTTTCTCTTTCCATTTTGAAAATCAGCCTTTCATCCACCACTCTGAGCATGAGCTACCTTTCCTAAATATTTAGAATTGCTCTTCCTGTGGACAAGAAGGGTCTTCCTAAAATCAGAGGGACTTCCCTTTTCTCTTCCATGTTAACCACAATGAAGTCTATAGGGAACACAAATTTGTCTACCCAAACCAATACATCTTCCACTATTCCTTTAGGTATGATGGTAGTCTGATCTACCAGCTGCAAGAACACAAGTATCGAACTGATTTCTCCAATCTCACCCTCCAATTTCCTATAAATAGATAAAGGCATAAGATTAATAGAAGAACCTGAATCACACAAAGATTTTTAAAAATTAGTACTTTCTAAAGAGGAAGGTATAGTAAAACTCCATGGATCTCCACATCTTTAGGGAGCTTATTTTGCAAGATGGCACTACAATGCTCTGTCAGCTTGACAACTGATGCCTCTTCCACTTTCCGATTCTTAGGAAATATATCCTTCATGAATTTAGTGTAAGCTGGTATCTGATAAAGCACCTCTGTGAAAGATATATTCACATGCAACTGCTTGAACACTTCTAGAAAGTGCTCGAACTGTTTGCCCAACTTCTCTCTTATTTCCTTCTGGTGAAAAGGTAAAGCTGGCATGTAATTGCTCTCTTCAGTCTCATTATTTGTTGAATTATTATTTTCCTTCTTTTTCTGAGCTCTATTCTTCCCCTTCTTCTTGAGATCATCATCTACTATCCTTGCACCTTTTTGAGTGTGGCTGATTTTTCTGTTCTTCCAAACCCTCCATCTGTTTTTCAATCGGCTCATCCTTTTGCTTTGCTATGGGATCCTCCCACTCGTGCCCACTCCTAAAAGACATTTCATTTATTGTCTCTTTTGGATTTCTTTCTGTGTCAGCAGAGAGCGTTTATGGGGCTCTCTCAAGTAATAGAGTAGCTAGTTGCCCAACATGTCTTTCCAGGTTTCGAAAAGATGTGCCCAGTTCTTTGATAGCTGCACCATGGGCGTCAAGCCTCTCATCTGTCTTGATAATGAATGCCTCTATTAGATCTTCCATAATAGACTGATTAGACTGTGGAGGGTGATATTGCTGCCTCTGCTGATTTTGAACGCTTGGAGCTCCTTGTCCCTAGGGTCTAGAGTTATTTTTCTGCCACGAGTCCAAGCCACCACTTGGTGTATTCCAAGAAACGACCGGGGTGCCTCTGTCCCATAGGATTAAATTGTTGCTACTTTGGTAGTTGCCCCTATCTAATATTCCCACAACATTTACCTCTTCATCTGCAGCTATGGCCTGACACTCATGTGTTGGATGGCCCATTCCACATAAATCACAAACTGGTGATGGTTGGCTCTGGACCTTGGCTAAGCTCAACTTTCTTATCTCACTGGCCATGGCTTCTAGTTGGTCTTGCATTGCTGTGTTAGAATATACTTAATGAACCCCAACTAATTTTGTTCTATCGATACTCTCAACAGGCCACTGCTTAGCATCTTCAAAAAGCTCATCGAGTATTGCCACAATCTCCTCAGAAGTCTTCTTCATTAAAGGACATCCAACTGTAGTGTTCAGAGTTCGTCATGAGGGAGGTGTGAGTCCATCCCAAAAGTCCTGGAGTTCTATCCACAATTCAATACTATTATGCTGACACTTCCTCACTATCTCCTTGAATCTCTCCTAAGCCTCGAAAACTGTTTCGGTGTCCGTCTGACAAAATTTATGAATTTCCCTTTTGAATATCATTGTTTTTGCAGATGAGAAGTATTTGTGAAGAAACTTTCTAGTCATATCTTCCGATGTCCTGATCTACCCTATTGGTAAGCTACGAAGCCAGTGTTTCGCGTCATCCTTCAGTGAAAAAGGGAATGCCCTTAGGTATACTGCATCTTTTGACACTCTGTTGTACTGGAAGGCGTTCATAATTTTCTCAAAATCAATCAAGTGAGTGTTAGGATCCTCATTCACCTTCCGTCTGAAGACATAGTTATTCTGGATAGTTTGAAGCAACTCTTTCTTCAACTCAAAATTATTCGCTGCCACTGGTGGAGGTCTGACACTGGACAATCCTTGATTGTAGAGTGGTATGGCATAATCACCCAATGCTCTACCAGGCTTGGGTACCGCATTCTCGAACTGATCTTCAATTAAGGGACGATTTAGATTGATTCTTCGACCCTCATTATCTTCTACGGTATCTTCAGCAGCTCTACGGGCTGCCTCAGCTGCTATCCTTGCAGCTTTTCTCTAAGTTGTGTTGCCTCTCTGGCAGCTAGATTTGCCTCATCTTCACCATTATTAGCCATGTGTTCTTGGGTTGAAGGTTGACCCAAGAACTTTCCGGTGAGTTTTTTCTCTTTCCTCAACTGTCGCATACTCGTTATGACCTCTGGATTATAGGGAAATAATTCCTTTGAAGAAGATCGAGTCATACACCAGAGACATCAATTTGTTGCCAGCACATGGAAAAGGAAACCCGTGAAGAATAAAAATAAAAATAACATAAATTCCTGAATTAGAACCATAAACTAATTTGAACACTATTGATTGCCAATCCCCGGCAATGGCGCCAAATTTAACCGCAAAACACAACAACAAAACAATGCCTGCTAGTCAAAGATAGTATAGTTTAATTATCGTCTCCACAGGGATTGGATTTAAATAATGCTCAAGTAATATTTAGCTTAATGCTATTCAAGATGATCAAAACATGATTTGTAATGATTATCAACTAAGCTTAACTACTAAAATAATGCAATTGACAATTGACAGCAATGAATTAGAGATTCGCAGAGTGGTTTCTTATCAATGTGAGGAATAAAGGTTTGGCAGGATAGGTGCAAGATAGCTACTTGGGATTTAACTATAGTTTAATTCATTCTAATTTTCTAATGATTCTCATGAATTAACTCGATGATTAGTTCAAACGTGTAGTCAACACTCCTTTATCGATTAAATCTTAACTCTACGAGATGAACTAATATAAGCATTGTGAAGTATGCAAGAATGCGTTAATGGATCGGTCCTTATGAAAATGTCTCTCGAATATTCGCCTAACTTGATACAATGAACAATTTAACAAGCTCTTTCGATTACTTAAGAGAATCAATGAATTAAATGAAAAAAATAATGCAAAGATAATCACCAAGATATTCTTTCTTTGGATTAAATAAACTGATGAGTAAAGTTGCAACAATTTGAAACTTCATAAACGATTTCAAGTGCGAACTAGAGTTAATATCCATAAATATTCATCAAAGCACCATATCCATCAAAACCTAAGGTAAACTACTCCATAATTATGGAGGAAGTAATTACAATTATAATTAAATAATAAGAAAGCATCAATCTAACTTTACAATCCAAACGCTCGTATTGAATTGATGGAAGAATGATGGAATCCCGTGTCTTGTTGTCTCCAATGCTATCCCAAAGCTTCCAAGGTCCAAAATTCCCTTCCAAAATATCTTTTTGGTGTATTTATATCATGTAGGAATGGTCCCAGGCGAAATTACTTTTTCCTAGCACAAACACGGCAAATACTCGGAGAAAACTACACACGCGATGCGCCTCGCCCCATGTGGGGCGCTTGTGGGAAAGTTCAGAGAGCAGGTTCTGGCAGACAGTAGACCATTTGTAATGTCGCGCTGCCGCATGCGGCGTGGCAGTGCATTATTTACATAGTATTTTTGTTTCGTCGAGTTTTGACATCCAGACTTGGCTCTCGACCCCCGAACGCGATCCCGGTTTAATTCTTTGGGCTTTTACTGAGACTTTAAAGCTCCAACTTGTTCAATTTAGCTCCCAAATATCTTTTTAACTCTAAATCACTTCCTACAAAGCATAAAACTCATAATATGTGCAATACACTAGTATTTAAGTTCAAACACAAATATAATATAGTAATTAGAGTGCAAACTATGACTAAAACACGTGATTCTAGCCTGCCATTAGTTTCCTGATTGCGTTGCCTACTACTAGTTTTGTATTTTTGCTTCGGTTATTAGATCAGTTTGCTTGCTATTGCCCTTCCCCTCTTCCTGTCCTGAGCCGAGGGTCTACCGGAAACAACCTCTCTGCTTTACTAAAGAGAGGGGTAAGATATGCGTACACTCTACCCTCCCTAGACCTCACTTGTGGGACTACACATCAAAGAATTGGGCAGAAGTTTAAAGTAATACTAAAAAATGTAATTTCAATATTAATTATAATATTGTGTATGAGATATAATTAAGCTAATTAAATAATAAATTTAATTTTAGAGGGAAGTTTAAGCTAGAAATAAAAATTGCAGGAGCATCATAACGTGTGTGTGTGTCATGTTTTAAACTAATAGAAGATAAGAAAACAACAAACCATAAGGGGTAATTGGTCCTCTTTCAGAAATTAAAAGCTTCTCTTCTTTGATGTCTAACAATCTTGTAGGCGAACATCTTCATCTCATTCCATTTTTGAAAATAAGAAAAGAAGATGTAAATATGTGAGAATTAAATTTAAATAGTAATAATTATAAAAGGTATTATTGGTCAAGAGTCATGTTTTATTTTCCTATATTGTTTAACCACACATAGAAGGAAGAATATGCAATTAGAAAGCGAATTAAAAATCACATGTAGAAGCAGGAAAGGATCTTATAGTACCATTCTTCAAAGAGTCCATTACTTAAATGGTCACTCAACTATATGAAATTATCTTGTAAAGTCATTTTTCTTTTGTTTGTAATAGAAAAGTCACATAAATATGCCTAGATTTCTCAAAATGTTTATTGTCAAATACCTATTTTATCCTCGAAATTATTAACTTTTATTTTATTTTATTTTATTTTTAATTTTTTAATAATATATTTTTTTCTCTTTTTAATATACATTATGGACTTACTTATAGAGAAAATAAATTTTGTTTATAAAATAAAAAGTAAACAATTATTTGTCTAGCATATATAATGTTGGAATAATAATATAGTTAAGCATAATGTTTTTAGAATATAATGTATATTATAAAAATATATTTATTTTTAAATAATTATTTTTATATTATGTGTATAGAATTTATATTTAACCTTTTATTTCATTCTCTATTGTGAAACTAAAATTTTGAGATTTTTTTGTTAATATCAAAATTATAATAAGGAACAAACTATTCTAATTATTTTTTTACTATGCTCACTTTTTTATTATTCCAACATTATATATGCTTAAACACTATTTTTGTTTTTCTAATTTATAAATAAAATTTATTTATTCAATAGGTTAGTCCATAATATAAATTCAAAAGAGAAAAAAAATCATAATATTAAAAAGTTAAAAAAATAAAAAGAAGACAAGAGTTGATAATTTAGAGGGTAAAATAAGTATTTGGCAATCAATGGTTTGAGAAATTTAGTTGAGGGACCTTATGAGTGCTATAAGTATAGTAGAGTAACTTTGCTGTTACAAAAAAAAGAAATATGACTTTAGTAGATAATCTCAGATAGTTGAGTGACCATTTGAGTAATGGACTCATTCTTCAAATGTATTTTTGTGATGACCTAATATGTCATCTTTAATTTTAAACATTAATTTCTATATTCCGAGACCTTGAATAGAAGCAATCAGCACCCCTCGACTTGCGTGCGTGATCCGTATATTTTTCCTGAAAACGTTTATGTGAAAAGTTGATAAAAATGTGAAAAAGTGCATTAAAACTCATATGAGTTGCCTTCGGTCAATTGTTTGAGCAAACGGACCCAGATCAGTATTCTGACGGTCCTGGTAGGTCTGTATCGTGATTTGAGACTAGGGCGTATGCCCGAAATCAAATTCGGAAGTCC